ATTTTTAAATAAGTCATTAAAAATTATATATGGATTTACGTAATTATCATACGTGATTTTCTTAAATTATGATATTTATTATTGAAAACAACAATGAAGCGTTAATCGTTTTCTTCAAGAGAAAAAAGGTAAGAAAAAGGAAAAAAGAAAGAGAAGAAGAAGAAGAAGAAGAAGAAGAAGAAGAAGAAAAAAAAAAGGAAAAGAAAAATGAACAGATCGATTCTGCGCCATCGAAGCGATAAATAATTTACGTTGGTGCATCGAAAATAAGTTAAATGACTTCCGGGAACATGCATTAAGATTAAATAACGATAGGTGTTCTTAGCTTGCGCGCACAAAAGTATTTACGTCCGATGTTCCAGCATCATCTTTCGCCGTTATTCGATAACGAGTTTCATTGTTATCATCAGCATCTTATTTTTCTTCGTCACTGAAGAGACGTCATCTCTTGTGCGAAGTACTCAAGACGTCCCTTAATTGCGCTCTTGAGACTTTTAAATCATCGTCCATGGATGAAAAGAAAAAAATTTCTTTCCATTTTCCTTTTCTCTTCTTTTTTCTTCTTCTTCCTTTTTATCACTTTACCCGTACAAGATGATTATAAAAAAATTACTTATAACTTTTGCAATCAACTTGAATATGTAGAAATATGATAAGGTAAAAAAAAGAGAAAAAGAAAAGAAAAGAAAAAAAAAAGAAAAACAAAGAGAATTGATCATGCTACGTGATATGTTTAAAAGTTCACACCCATTTACATTTACATATATGCCTATATATACATTTGATTCTTCATATTGATATCTTATTATTGCTCAATGTTAATTTCTCGCATTTTTTTCCAAATACAATTCGAAGACATTGTATTAATTTAATTAAGATAAGTAATTACTTTTTATTTACACGGTTGCTCATTTACTTCAATCTTTTAAAGAAGAACATTGCATATACTCTTAGATGGCTCGATGGTGCATCTATGCCGCATTGAACATCGACCTCTCATCTCGGCCTTGACCTTACAACGGTTAAACGACGACTCCTGCTGGCTTCTCTCTCTCTCTCTCTCTCTCTCCTTCCTTCCGTTTATTTTAAACGAGTCTTACAAGGCATTAACCACGAAACGAATTTGCAATTCGTTCGCATGAATTTCGTTACAATGAGATTTAAAGTTGTAAAGTGCGTTGAGATGAGAACCGTGCATTATCAAGATGATTTACGGAGTGAATAAAAATATAAAGAAATTTTTCTTTTATATCCCATCGATTTGAGACACTTAAGGTATTATTTAATCTTTTGTATAAATTGAAATTTCATTTGGAAAGTTTTTTATTTGTTTATTTCTTTTTTTCTTTTTATTTTTTTTTTCTTTCTTTTTAACGGATCCTTTATTAAAAATTGCATATTTTTTTTTTTTATAGACGTATTAATATCTTATAACATACAAATTTTATTTATATTTAAAGAAAAATTATCTGTTTTATTTGTAAATTATTATTTCGCGTTGTAACAAAGAACTAACGTATAGAATAAAAGTATCAATTATAGGGGAAAAAGGACAAAAGAAAAAATGAAATACGAATAATAACGACACACGATAATTTCTTCACAGTGAAAGGTAGAATCGAAGAAAGGATGTAAGAAAGAAAGGTGGCATCCTTACGTAATCCATATTATTGGTATCATTTTTTTTCTTCTTATCTTTATATTACAATAATACTTTCACTATCTTTCAGATGATATCAGATAATATCTTTCATAATATTTGATGTAATCCTTGAAAGATTATTTTTCTTAAATAATAATCTTTAATTATAAATAAAAATAAACTAATGGATTAGATAATCGTATAAATTATTTACTAATCTTTATTTATATTATCATGAACTATATATCATTAATTTTGTGTCTCAATTAATCAACATTTCGATAAAAGTTTTATGAATCGTCCTGTAGATCGAAGAACAGTACGTCCCCTTGTTTTCAAGAGCAAGGAGACCAAGTCTACACGCAAATAAGACTTGCGTATGGATGCAGTTAAATGCGTTTCATAGCCAGCAGCACGCCTTGCATTTTCGCGATCTCTCTTGTGAGACGGATGGCGAAAGGATCGACGATTATATGTACTTTTTCTTTTATCTTTTTCTTTTTTTTAATTCTACTCTACTGCACGTATCTGTTCTTTCACCGATGATTATCTTAACGATGTGAGCTATATTTAGATTAAACTTTGTAGAGCATATCTCTAAAGTTATCATACTTCGAGATAATATATGCAAACTTGCAAAGATAGATAGATTTCATCTTTTCCTTTCGCTTTTAACATCTTCCTTTCGTCTTTCGAGTTCTTTTTCTTTCTTTCTTTTTTTTTCTTTTTTTTTTTTCTTTTTTTTTCTTTTTTTTTCTTTTTTTTTCTTTTTTTTTTTTTTTTTTTCCCGTGTAAATTCAAGTTAATTGGATCGTTTCCCAAGAAAATCATAGGCCCTATTAATACATACTTATCTCGTGGCTTCATTAAAGATCTTCGTAAAATTTAAATCCTTACTACTTATTTACCACTTATTTACTACTTATTTTTAAGATGTACGTATTACGCGTACTTACACATACGTATTTTTTTCGCCCCCTTTTTTTTTTTTTTTTTTTTTTTTTTATAGGTATTATACATACGCATTTATATACACACATACATTTTACATTTATATCGATTTGATTTATTTAATCTATATGAAGTTCATTTTATTAGAATAGAGGTACAAGAATATATATATTTATTTATGTGTACAAATATATAAAATTTCTATGCTTTTTCTTTTTTTTTTTTTTAATTTTTTTATTTTTTTATTTTTTTTTTTGTAGAGAAAACAATCAATTTAATTATCAATTTATACGAGGCATTAAATTTGCAGCGCGATCCTAAAATCATTTCTACGTAGAACTGAATTACATTTCTTCGAAATCATTTGCGCAATATTCTTACTTGGAATAAAACTCTGATATCATTGGCTAGTTCCTTTTGAAAAGATTTCCTTTTGAGATTTAAAAGCAATGCCGATGACAATAACGATTGTAACCTCGTCTTTTCTTCCTTTTCTCCCTCTCTCTCTCTCTCTCTATCTATCTATTTATCTATCCATCTATCTTTTTCTTACTACGAAGAACAGGGACGTTAATCCTGCTTATCCTTGACCATTGGCGGCTCAGGTCAGATGAAAGGATAATAATCCTCCGAAGGATCGTCCTCGTCGAATGATGTATATATGAGGAAGGGCGAATGGATGGATAACCAATCGTTGATTTTTTCCTTTTTTTCTTTTTCTTTTCCTTTCCGTTTTTTTTTCTTCTTATTTTTCTTCGCTTTTTTTTCTCTCTTTTTTTTTTTAAATTAAAAAAAAATTTTTTCCTCAACTTTTTTTTCTCGAGAGCTCATTAGTCACAATCATTTTGCATTCTCTAGTCCATATATGCGTTTTCATAAACGACGTTTCTTCTCATTATCTACCAATCATCGATTCGTTTCATCGTGGAAGCAACAAGAGGAACTATATCGTCTATGAACATGAGATATACTATCCGTCGAACGGGTAGCACGTCGGTCGAGATCATTAACGTGCTTATTTAATGGCTACGCGTATGATAGCTATAAAAGTCATCGAGTCAATAATTCAAACCTTCGAACGTGATCGTGAAAGAGGCTTATCCTCCTCTTCCTCCTATCTTTTTTCTTTTTTCTTTTTTCTCTTTTTTCCTTGCAATAATTTTTTTTCTTTCGTCTTTTTATTCAAATTAATTAAAATTTAATGTACAATCTGTATATTTATTTTCTCCGTTTATGATTTAATTTATTTGGATTTAAGAAACATATTTATTAGAAATTAACTGATATATGAATTTTCGATATTTTCTAAAAGAGAACACACACACACACACTCTTCTTCTCTCTTTCTCTCTCTTTCTCTCTCTCTCTCTCTCTTTCTCTTTCTCTCTATGTTATTATAGAGCATCCGGAAGATTAATTCCATAGTGCGTCATAATTGATCGGGGATTTTCAGAATCCAAGCTGGCTTTCAATTAGTCACTAGCTCTTCCCCTACTAAAACATTGCAAATTAATCGAGAGAAAAATTCATGGATACTGATTACCGTGAGTGTAGTGATCACGTTTCATGCAATCAGTTTTTAGTCTCTCCCTCCCCTTCTCTCTCTCTCTCTCTTTCTCTTTTTCTCTTTCTCTCTTTCTCTCTTTCTCTCCTTCTTTCTCTCTCTCTTTCATTATTTCTCGCTCGCCTGATCTTCGATCATTTGTTGCACGTACAAGTCTTACACGTATAATGTCTGTAACGTTCCAATAATAATTATAGATCGTCTAATAATACAAATAATAAGCCCGACTGTACTTCTCCTTGTAACATAATTGCAGACTTACCTTGTCCCTTTGGATTTTTTGTTATTATTATTATTATTATTATTATTATCTTTTTTTTAATATTACTACTACTACTACTACTACTAATACTATTGTTGCTATTGTATCATCTAACGGTTCACTAGGAGATTATTTTCAATATTTTTTTTCATTTTTCTTAAAAGTAGATTAAATAAATAGATTGCATTAACGAGTATTGACTTAAATGAGAATCGAACACAAATTTTTGCATAGATAAAGTAGATTTCTTTATATATGATATTTTATTTTATTTATTTATTTATTTTTTTTCTTATGCAATATAATCTCTATTTCGTTTTATCATATCTCGATAAATGTACCAACAGATGTTAAAGAAGAAATCGTTGTTACCGTCAGTTCATAATAGCGTGAATGATATTATCATTCGTAGATAATCTTTTATTATCGATATATCATATTTAAAAGATGGAGCTAAAAATTTATGTTTTATGAATCTCATTGATCGTGCACTTTGACCTTCACCCATTTAAACGCCGGAACTGACGCATCTGGCAGTGATGTGAATGAGAAAATAAATAGATGTTTTTGTATAGTCGGCGCATTGTTAATCGTTGATTTATGAAAATTCTTTTCTTTTCTTGTCCGTAAAAATACGTTCTTTGATTCGCAGAATCAAAATCGTTTTCGACAGATATCGTCATATTTTTAATTAAAGAACGTTTCATGCGATGGAAAGCGACGTCACGATAAATAATCCCTGTAGAGAGATTTATGAGAAAATCAATTATTGATTCTCTGTATCTCTCAACGTGGATCAATTTCTCGGAATGAGTCCTGGAGTAAGGATAACGTTAAGAAGGAAATAATCGGCGGATCGTTAATCATTGATCGAATACCTACGATCGGGAGTCAAATGGATGAGCTATAATTAAAACATAGTCAATAGATCAAGAGGAGTGAAATTACGAAATATCTAATAAATCCGATACTGTATCCGTGATGTCTGACACGATACTTTCAACGAAATCCTTTCTTTCTATTTGACGTTTGCCGTCGAACGTTTGTTTGCTCCTGACAAATTCTCGCGGTATACTTTGAACATTAGTTTGTCCTGGAAATTTGACAATGTCAACAGATGGGCCGTTTTGTCTCATGGAATTGACATTAACAAAGCCACCTTCGTTTCGTCCATAGGGATTCCGATGGACCGAAGTAGCTTGTAGTCCTTGAGTATAAACTCCGGAGTTCGATGAGGCACTGGAATCAGCTGAGGGTACAGTGATGTGTAAACCTCCACTTGACTGTCCTTGACCCTGCAACCAAGAGTTAGGAATTGACGGATATCCTTGAGCGTACTCGTGCTTCGAATGTGGCCTCCACTGATGTCCTTGAAAGTTGACTTCTCCGTTAGGATGCCACTCGTTCACTTGAAGCTGTGGTCTATTATTTTGCCAGCGTTGATTGTAATTACCTAATGTTAACGTTATCGGTCGTCTCTGTTCAATGGTAATTGGTGGGTCTTTAATGGTTACTGTAGGTCTATTAGAGATAGGATGGCCTGTTGATAAATAATATTAGTTAATGAATACGATTAATATTATGTTCAACAGGTTTATGCATTTAGTAAATGATGAAAATATTAATATCACACCGGGGAAATCATGATTAGGTCCGATGTTGGTCCAGACCGGTTTTCTTGGTCCCTGTGGTTGTCCTATTATCAGACCATCAGAGAGAACATGCACATTGCTACTGGATGATGCTGAAGAATGCACGGAACCGATCGATGCCTGCGAACCAGAACTTGCCTGACCGTTTTGTGCGTTTGCTTGCGAGGAAGTACTCGCTTGGCCAATACTGAATGAATTGCTATTGGCATTTGATTGCCCACCGAAAACAGGATGATTTACATTGAATGAATTAGCGTTAGAGGCAGAAATTCCTGTCAATCCTGCGGCAAATGACGAGGATTGACTAGCGGATAGCGAAGATCTAAAAAAAAAAAAAAAGAAAAAAGAAAAAAAAGAAACAATTAACCACAATTTTTTTTTCTTTTCAATTTTCAATTAACCATTCATCCTGAACATATGATATTCATATCATCGTTTTACGATTTCATAAATTTAAAATAATAAAAAAACGTTGCAATCGAAACGTAACGCAATCTCTTCGATTCAATTCGATATATTATAAAAATCATTTTTAATCATGATAAATGATTATTGTAAGATATAAATTGTTCTATACAAGTATAAAAGTATATTTCTCTCTTATTTCTGTTAGTTCGTGGAAACGCGTACCCAGCATTCCCAAAGGAATTGGCTTCAGCTTTAGAGAAGCTAGAACTCTGAGATACACTGATACCCCCGAGGGCTGCTCCCAATTGCAAAGCCTCTCTATTGTCCTGGGCACCGTTTAGGCTGAAGCTTGCACTGAATGGAAGAAATCGTGCCTCTGCTCTTCCATTTATCGTCTCCGGCTTTTTCCTGGTAACCTGCTCCGGTGTCAGTTCCGGTGGTGTGTTCCATCGTTTCTCGTGTTCATCGTTGAAATGCACGCGATCGTCTGCGGGTATGAATGAAAAAAGAGAAAAAGAAAGAAAGAAGAAGAAGAGATAGAGAAAGAGAGAGAAAAAGACAGAACAAAAGAAGAAGCGAAACAAAGAGAAGAAGAAGAAGAAGAAGAAGAAAACACATTTCCTTCGTGACACGCAAAAAAAGGGGAAATTGTTCGAAAGAAAACGAATGTACTAAACCTTTTATAACTTTCCACTTCTTTTTTCATCTCACGTCGAACACGTTGAAAAATTTAGTCTCTTTGGTTTGTTCACTTTTTCTCTTTATTTCTCTCTCTCTCTCTCTCTTTCTCTCTTTCTCTTTCTTTTTCTCTTTCTTTTTCTCTTTCTCTGTTCGTTTATTTCGAGTTAACGAGAAGAAAACTAAGTACAGCACGTACAGAAAGCTCAGCGAGTTTTCTATTGGATTTGGATTTTATATCCGTGCGTCTATGTACATTTTAAATGACGTTTCAAATGAATTGAAATATTTTTTATTTCTTTTTTTTTTTTTTTTTTTTTTATATGTTTCTTATAGTATTTAAAAATATTGACTATTGTTAAAGGTACTAATGTATTAGGAAAAGAATATAATTAAATTAAATTATTTCATTATAAAGTGTAAATAAAGATTTTAATTAAATAAAGAAATTTTAGATAAATACAGAACGAAGCTCTTATTGATTAGCTTGTTTGTTTTGTTTATTTTAATATTTCAGGTTTTATAATATATTAATATTTTAATTAATTGTCATATTTAAAATTTATTTATTAAGGTAAAAAGAAAAAGGAGAAAGAGAGAAGATTTGCATCTACCGTCAGGTATCTTAGATTTCAAGGACTTTCAATTCGTCATCATCAATTTATTTAGGCCACATCAAATTCAGGTCATTATCTTTTTTATTATTTTTGTAAATAATAATTTTATATTTTCATAATGGAAGTATATATAATTATACTGTGATTAAGAAAATATACGGAAATATGTAAAAAAAATTCAAGTTATGTGCGTATATATATATATATATATATATATACTTTTTCTGTATGCATTACGATATAATCGATACTATTACTTCATATGACGTTCACTTTTCAATATACACTGCATTGATTCGTACGACTTTTAAAATCGTCTCAATTGCATATTGAATTTTTTTTTTTTTTTTATAGTCATTTAAATAACACTTATGTCACCAGCTTGAATAATTTTTACGAGCCACTGGATTTCTCTCGAAAATAAATAAATAAATTTTTTTAAAGATATAGCACAAATTTCATTTCAAACACGACATTCACATTTCACTATTAACGTTATATCCGACGTTTCACGTGAAAAACAATTTTCTATATGACGTTAAATCGTAAGTTACAATGATTTTCACTATTTCTCGAAGAAACTCACTGTCGTAGAAAAGCACATATTCTTTGTTTTTTTTTTTTTTCGATTTACATTGGAAAAGAACAAAATTCGTCGTAATCGATAATAAAAGAAGATTTTTCGAATGATCGTCGGAGATGTCATTTCTTACCTGTTCTCACGAACACGAAGAAGATAGAAGAAAAAATGAGGAATAGGCACTTAACGCACGTAGCCATGTCTAAAAACGTTCTGAGTTCTCGGTGACTGTGCTCTACCCTTTTTCAATGTATATGCGTGACCTTAAAAATCACATTAAAATTCTAGTCGTATCTGTCCGCGTAATATCTTTTTCTTTATTTCTTATTTCTTTCTTTTTATTCATCATAAACGTTCGTGGTCATCGAACGGACATATCGATTTTCATCGAATTCATATTAACAACCGCATAATTTCATAAGTTAAGATAGTCTTCCGTATAAAATAACCGTTTATTTATTTTTCCCTTAATAAGGAATAAAGGTATTTCATTTTTCTTATTATTCCTTAACGAGATGGATACGGAACGTCGTTTGAATACGATGTGTGTGACGTTAATGGCCTTGAGGAATCCCAGAAGATTGCTTGTGACTAGGCTGTCAAAGTATACGAGACTTGTGCAATAATTCTACGGTTTCGTCGATAGAATCGATAAAAACACGTTCGGATATAAACATACATGTATAATAGTACGAGAAAATAGTTGATAGAGAAAGAGAAAGGAAGAGAGAGAGAGAGAGAGAGAGAGAGAGAGAGAATTATTTCTATTACGTGGATGCTGTCATTGCTGTGAAATAGATTAGAAATGAATCAAAGAATTACACAAGGATTGATTGAAATATATGTACTATATATATATATATGGAAATGAATCAAAGAATTACACAAGGATTGATTGAAATATATGTATATATATATATATATATATATATATATATATATATATATATATATGCATTCATTTATGAACATTACGAAATTTTAATTATTACAAATATGCACGTGTACTACGTGTGTATTATGTGTACATATTTATATCAGTTGAATTCACTTAAGATTAAACGTATGTATGAATATCTTTGATTTACTTTAAACGATTGAGAAATATTTCAACGAAGCATACATTTAATTCAATAAATATATATCGGCTGATATACATAGTACTTGATTATTTTCCTATACAAAGGTAATAAAGTAAATCAAGGCAGATTTAAAACATTGTAAATTTTTTTCTTTTTTTTTTTTTATCGTGATCATTGTGAATAAAACTTAAATCTTATTAAAAAAGTAATCAGTACTTTCGTTTTATCGTCTAGACTTCTAAATGATTCATCCGGATATATATATATATATATATATATATATATATATATATATGTAATATATCTACGTATATAAAGTTTATATATATAAATAGTTATCGACACGGTGATTAATATTTTTATATGTGATAATATAAAATCGCAATGAAGGTATATGTACGTGAAATTTCGATAATGTTTTCTTTCTTTTTTTTTTTTTTTTTCTTTTCAATATTTAAGGAATACATTAATGATAATAATTATTGCAGAAAAAAAAGAAATATTGTACCTATAAGAATATTTATATATAATTTTATATGTTATATAAAAATATTATATTGTTTGACTGAAATTTAAAAGAAATAAATTTTTGTAACAATACAAAATAATTCTTTTTATCGAATAATATTTGGTATCATAAAACATTATTTGACTCGAAATTATCTTAAAGACTTCGTGCTTGATTAATCATCATTTCGAACGAATACACGATAACAATGAAGAAATTAATGCATACCAAAGCATATTTTTTCTCATGTGTTTTAATAAACATTATATTGATTTGAAATTTTTCGTGCTTTCGTTCCTTCGTTTGTTTCGCTTTCTTTTATTCTGTTTTTTTTTTTATATTTTTCTTTTTTTTTTATTTTTTTCTTTTTTTTTTTTTTCTTTTTTTTTACACAAAATTAAAGTCGATCACTGTCAACGTATACATTATTTTTTACGAGCTATTATTTCATACTGATTTAACATTTACGTAACTATTAAACAATTTATTTTGTGCCTACACATAAATAGAAAACGAAGAAGAATCAGGAAAATTGATGTCAAATATAGAATTGTTTTGATCAATTAAATCGATCGATATTTTGTTGGTTCTAGTTTTAGGATTTACGGTAATATTTTCATCGTTTTCAGTTGTTTGAGTTTGATTTTCTAATGAAATCGATGGAATTTCATTTTCCTCGATTGTCTCAAAGGTGATCGTTTCTGAAGCAGGTGTCGTAGCCACGAACATGTTACTGTTTGCTGATGGAAAAACTACTTCCGTAGATTCTTCAGCGATTGTTTCGTCGAACGTGCTGATAGTTATTATGGGGACAGATTCTATTTCTATACTTTTTCTTGTGGTCGTATTTATCTCGCTGCTTGGAGAACTAGTCGTTGCTTTTATCTCATTAATTGTCGAACAACTTTCTTTATTTTCATTCGATTGTACCTGTGATGTTTGATCCTTTATAGCCAATAAATCTGTCATATAACATATAAATAATGAACGTTAAAAGTTTTTCATTTTGTTTCTTAATTATTTATCGTTACGAACATGGCGATTTAATTTACTCTATCTTTTTTCTTTTTTTATCTTTTTTAAATTCAAAATTTTTTTTATAATCGTATAATATAATAAGTTTTTACTTCACAATTAGTTCGAATTTAAATTGAAATTTTATGATTTTATTTAACGAAACTTTAAATCTCACCATCGCCCAATTTCTTCAAAAGCGTTAGAATTTCTTTCTGTGTCTTTTCCAATTTATCGAGCCTCTCATTTGTGTCGGTTATGTCCTCATCATCGTCATCAATGTCGTCATTGTCCTTGAAAATATAACTGATGGATGGAAAGTAAGGAAACTTCCAAGAACGTTGAAAGTCTGATAATTCCTCCGAATTTGATCCAAGAAAATGTATGCTTCGTTGAACTTTAGTTAGATCTTTTTTATTATTGATAGGATTACCTGAACAATGAAAAGAAAAAAAATTAAAAAAAAAAATAATTTCAATCCATATCACTCTCTAAGCATAATTTTTTTCTTTTTTTTTTTTCAAATCAATAAGTTTTGCAGTAAGAAACTCGTTTAATAAAAAAAAAAAAAACATGTGAAGTCGAAAGTTCGAGTTGTTTGTTAAGTGATAATACGCATTGAGTGAGTCACGATCAGCATATGTATCTTTCAATTATTCATATTAATTACGTTTATATTGTACTACGTGAAAACGTAAAAGCTTTCGTGATTCATTAGATTTGCAAAGAAGAAGAAAATAAAAAGAAAAAAAATAAAGAAAGAAAAAAAAAGGAAGAAGAAGAAAGAAAATATCAATGAAACAAATCGTACGTATCCTTATCCAATTGGTTTAAAGAATAAAACTTACATTCGATACTTTGCAATTGCAGGGCTATCAGAATCACAAAAATGGCGTTGATGCTGTACGACATATTGATTATTTTTATCATTTTTACACGTATTCCTTTTGAAAAATAATCTCTTGACATTAGAAAATTTCGAACGCTACTGACGAATTTGCGATGGTTCCTTCGTCTTTTATATCTATTGGGAAACTTAGGACTAATAGCAAAGGGAAAGCATTAACTTAATGACCCATCCTATTTGTCTTATCTATTTCTACAAGTATATTAAGCTCTTTGTATCTTCCTACCTGAATCGTTGAAATTTTTAAAGAGGTCAACGAAAATTTTTTAAAGAAGTCGAGGGAAATTGTTTTCGTATTTTATTGAGACTAAAAAAAAAAAAAAAAAAAAAAAATCAAGTCTTAAAAATAATATTATATTTAACAAAAAGGAAATTTTCATAATTTTATACGTAAGGATAAAATAATTTAACAAAGAGAAAATTTTCTAATCTTGTATTTACTACGTAAGGAATTTAGATATCAAAAGAATCATAAAATTAGAGTCTCCTCGTTCGTCATAGTTTTATAAATATCTACTTTTTAATCAGACGTACAATGAAAAAATCCAAAATAATTTCTTAACAATTTAATTAGATGAGGCATTAGGAAAAATGCTATTACCGACACGTACAGAGTTAATATACGATTTATTCTTTAGTATTGAAGTCGATCTTGATTAGACGGATTCAAAGTAAACGTAGTTAATTTCTAATAATCCTTGATATGTATCATTACATTTATGATAAACATTTAACAAATTTTGTCGAGTCTATTTATATTTTAATTTTTAATTGATCGCCTTGTTGAAATATCGTTAAAATGATATTAACCAATATATTTTAAGTTACCTTGACAATGAACTTTATCAATCGATTTATCAAGGAAAAAGTGATTTTTAATAATGGAAATGAAATTGTTATTCATGGTAATGAATTATTACGTACGCGATAAACTACTTTCGCCAGTGTGGGTATTTCCCAGTATTATAATGATCAATAGCGTCAGCCACGTTCGTATCAAATAATAATAACAAACGTCGATGTTGTTATAGGATCTTTGTTGACGATTTATTCAAACTTTTGTTTGTCTTTGATGATAAATGGAAAACTTTGAAGATGATGGCCCAATATCATTGGGTATGAGTTGATTCTTTGAAAAAAAAAAAAAAAAAAAAAAAATTACGATTGAAACGAACATTATCGAATTTTCAAGACTTTCCAATAAAATCGAGGATATTCAATTGACGAAGATTCAAACTTTCCAAAGTAAAAAAAAAAAAAAAAAAAAAAAAGAAAAAAAACAAATTCGTAACATATATATATATATATTTTTACACGTGCATTCAACATCTGTACAAACATCGACAGATAATATTGCAATAAAGAAACAGCGACATGATTTACGTATGATACGTCTTCTTTCGTCGATTTTTCTTTAGCACTCATCGCTGCAATTATTCTCGCGCGTATCGATCAGAATATTTTCACTTATGTTTCGTTTGGTTCTTCTGAAAATGGCAAATGCCCCGAATGACTAATATTTTAATGTTGTTTGATTGCTCTGATAATACTGGATAAACCGATATATGGTACATCTATCGGGGTTTTTTTTTCTTTTTTTCATTCAAAATTTTTCGGAAAATAATTTACTTTATTATTTTTTTATCTTTTTGTTATTTACTTTTATCACGCAAAAGATTTTCGATATAAACGGACAATGAATAAATATACGAAAATTATAATAATTTACAT